TATTTATTTAACAGTTTATATACACACATAATTCGATAGGAAAATGGTAAAAACATAATTATGTACAAAGGCACTGCCTATTCCATGATGAAATTTCTTCCAGCAGGCCTATTGTAGGATAGTTGAAGGAAATAGAGGTATTCAAAGTGTGCACTTACATAAATATACATATACAATACAAATATATACATATACATACACACACACACACACACACACACACACACACACACACACACACACACACACACACACATATACGCATGTATATATATAAATAAATATCATATATTATGAAAAAATATATAATTCAATATAATATATTTTTAATGTTACTTATATGCATACCAACACATTACGATTTAATAATTATGGAGTGAAATATTGATTCATTGTTCATTGATTGATCCTCACAATGAATCAGTTATATGGAACCCCAAACATGAGCAAATAAAAATAAAACCAGAGTAACTTGCCTAACTGCATTAAATAATACATATTTAGTTGCGATTTCAGAGTACCTACCTAATGATAAATATTATTATAAATTATCTCTGCGTTTATGTTGTTCAGGGATAATGTAGCTTAGGGGCTTCTTTTGGGCTATCTTTTATTATGAAAAAACCCCCAGCGAAGCGGGCACGGGTCAGCTAGTAGATCCTATAAAGGTTTTTTTTTCCTTTTGAGGTCGGAATCCTAAAAAGGACAAACTGGGATTATTGTTGTATGTGTAGTTTTTTTTCGTTCACTCTGAGAAGAGTGAAGCGCTGTATAAGTATATGACAGCGGCCGCGATTGCCCTAACGTCCATCATCATCTAGCTACCAACGCAGAATGAAACACGCCAACGTGTGAACGGCACCACGAAAATCTGCCGAGTGCGCTCGCCAAGCGCGCTCGGCCAACGTGTACTGGAGCCATGACAGATTTCATAGCGGGGGACGTTGATTTGTTAAGAAAATTTAAGTTTTAATGTTTATCTCTGAAACATTAATTATATTTTCTATTATTTAGATTATATTTCTAATTTGTTCTACTAAGGCATAGTTTTAAGTATTCACATAAATTTAAAACGGAACTTCTCAATTATAATATTAACATTGTGTTACAAATAACTTCACCCCAGTCCCAACTAGCGACATCTGGTGAGCGGAATATTATTAGCCCTCATTGGTCGAATTTCGACCACCAACGATATTTAGTTAATATAATTACACTATTATACAGAGTGACTTTTTCTACCGTGATTAAGAAATGAGGTGATTATAAAATTTATCAAATTTATTGTTTTTTCATTTGACATTTTATCTCAGTGATTTATCAATAAATACTACTAATTTGAAGTAAACTTATTATCTAGCTCTGTTTTAAGGTCAAGGGCGTTACAAATTCATTGATTCTATCACGCGTAAAGTAAGGTTTACATGATTTGAATTTCGCTATTTTTATCACTTTTTTTTTTAAATAAAAAGTTGAGTTTTTAGAAATTATATAAAATATTCATTTCATAGGCTATCACTTCGTTCACCTATTAACACTATTGTTTTCTTCACGGTTAAAAAAGTCAATTGGTATAAATATTTGTTTCTATAAGCAAGGGCATAATAAAAAATATAAAAAACATTCTCAGTCGAGCCACCTCACAAACCATAAGTTGAAACACTTAAAACTGTACTTACGGATCAAACAATGACCACTTTCAGTAATAAAATGCAATAATAACGTATAGTAGTAGATATACAATAGTAGAGTACCTACAGTACAATACGTAATAAAAATAATTCATAGACTATTAATGACTGCTGTTTTTATCTTTAACTAGCGATTTGCCTTGGCTTCGCTCGGATGTACCAGCGTATTTAACAATATATCATTACAATATCATATTAATATGTGGAGACTTGAATAGGCTGTAACGGTAACGGTCCAGAATTTTAAATTGGTAAAATCCTTAGGTTCCAATTCTATGTCGGACACGATCCCTCCTGTTTACCCTCTTAAATACTTAAATGAAAAAAATGTGTACTATTTTAGGTACGAATTCCATTTGGGTGGGAAAATATATGTACTGCAATAAAAAAAATATGGCATAAATCTTCGGTGGTCCATTTTTATTGTCATGAACTTGGAGCTTTCACGAGACTATACTTGGAAGAATAATTTCAATGACACAGTTACAAGACAAAAAAAAATACGTAATTCCATTTACAAACTAATCTAAACCTTGACAGCTCACCACAGATTAATGTTAGTATCTGTCACAGATTAAAAGAAAAAGTGAAACAAAATAAATACACTATGTTTATTCTATTTATAAAAATGCACATTTTGAACACGATTATCTTGACGGGATTAAGTTTGAGATGAGAACTTTACACTCTCAACTCTAATACTTCATCTTAAAAATAAAAAAACAAAATAAACACAATATTATTTGAAAATGCACAGTATGACAGTACCCACACTGCATTCCTAAGACAATAATCTGAATGCGTGATAAAATAAAAATAAAACTTACTGCTAAAACACACGCGTGGTTATGTTATGAATTGTGTATATTCGCTTTGATTATTAGAAAAAATTATGAACAAAAAACACTTTTAAGTTATTTAATTACTTGTGTGGAGAAGACACTAACACTGGTGATTTTTTCGGACCGATACAACTTAGGGAACTTCAAGAAAAGAGCCTACTCCTTTTTAAAAGGCCGGCAACGCATCTGCCATTCCCTTGATGGTGCAGTTGTTCATAGGCGGCGGTAGTCACTTAACATCAGGTGAGCTGTATGCTCGTTTACACCCTCCAGGTAATCGTAAAATGCTTGTTAAGAGTGGTTGACGACAGTAGTCGATAGCGGATTCGAATCCACGACCTTTTGATTTCGCGGTGCGCACCCTGCATTTAGGCTTATGTCGCTTTTTTTAAATTAATAACCCCAAACAATTACTTTAGTATTAACCACCTTTTTACATCTATATAGATCTTTAATAATAGGTACAGTAAATTAAATTAAAATTAGTCATAAGGAGACCACAGTGCCATAAATACAATTCTAGACATAATAATTTATGTACTATAGAATTATTTTAAATTAGCACTGGAATATTGCAGTGATTTTTATATTGGTTGTTTTTTTTTTTTAATTTTACAGAAAAGATACTATATTTTTGTAGTAAGGCATAACAATCACAATTTAAGGAAATATTAATTATCTGCAGACTGAACATTTTTTTAATACATTTCTTTTTGGAAGACAAAAATTGTTTCAAAACAAAGCATCACAACTCATAACAAACCCACTTCAAATACATCTACAAGTCACATAGTTAAAATCTTATATTACAGCACGTCGCAAGTTAAAATCATGTTACCGTCAACGGTAAAAAGGGTCAAACACTAACAACAGTTGAGTTGAACTGTTGTTACGTTCAAACACACTTCTACATCTCACTCAAAAAATTATTTATTACAAAATCAAATTTCAGTTGTTTTTTTGTTTACGATAACCAGCAATAACCGCCTCATACAAGCGTAAAGGAACTGCCTCATTTCATTTTAAAATACATCGACTATATATTGTTCGTTTTATTATGAAAAACATTTTGCACTTGTGTGAATTGGTTCTTTAGAAAGTTTCTTCTCTTGTTAACTTTTTTTACAAATAATTCTTATTATCGCTAATATTCCTTTTATCCATATTGATATACTCTTTATCCACTCCAAGAAAGCTTAAAATTTTGACAACAGTCGAATGGTGGATTCGAACTAACGAGTTTTTATGTTTGCTATCGGTCCCCCTAAGCATTATACTCGCTACTGTTGTTTCATTATTAACATACTTGTTCTTTACATTCATGTATTGCAACTAAATGTGTTTTGTACATGATTTACGAATGATTTCATAATACAGCAATATACAACTAGAGTGATAAAATTTGCCTTTCTTTTTCTTTAAAAATCAATGAAAGGCCACACAAATTAATAACTAAACGTTGTTTATATTAAAAATATCTCTCAATCATCTTTGTTTAATAGCTTTAGATAACGCTTTCGACACCAAAATTTATCTGCAATGATAGCTAACAACAACCTTACTACGTCCTTACCAAAACCATAGACAATCATAACATTTTTTATAAATCTATATCAAAGACATCTCTACACTATATTCTCTGTGCAAATCTAGCGCGTTAGTCTATTTAATCTATATTACAAAACGATTTTGTGTTTTACTGTATCGTGTATGGAGTACTCGCTCCAATTAAAGGCGTGTTTACTGCTTTGTTTGAGTGTAGGTGATATGTTTTAAAGGTTCTCATCAAATCCTAAATTCAAAAAAAATATTTTCACTCTGCACTGGTAGCTGTATAAAAGTGAAAACTTTTATACAACTGACGTTCGACAATTATTTGATTTGAGAATTATTATATTGATGAAATTGTAACATGATTTCAAAAAACATTTTCTGGTTGTTCTCTTAGATTTTGACGTTCATAAGAGTTTATTGTTCACAAGCCTAAAATTAATAAAATTTTTGCTTTCGAATGATTTTGCGAAGATATTTTCTGTAAACACCATGTTTGACAGGTGGATTGGTAACTGCAGTTCCACACATTTCGGACCTTTAATTTTGTTTCCTGTTGCTATATTACGTCTGGTATCATACAATTGCAGATGTAGATGACGATATAGGCCCCGAGAACTTTCTATAGGAAATCCAGTCTCCTTTACAACACCCACAAGACGATATGCGGTGACCGATTCAACACCACCATTGAGGAACTTTTTAGAACAAAATGATATGTCTCCTAGGTGAAACACTGTCAACAGTATTCATCAGTAATGCAATATGTCTTATAAACTCTGTAAATTGTCTACTATAATGATTTTTATGTAAAAAATATTTTATTGCCATGTAAAAACAATCACCTACATTTCAACAGATCGTTGGACGACAACGAAGCAGTAAACCGAGTCCCAGCACGCAGTCACACGCGTACTTACATAAGCACGCATCGCTTGCTGTCCCTCTCCGACGCCAGCGCGGGAGTGGGAGTGGGCACGAGTGCGGGGGCGGGGGCGGGGGTGGGCTTGATGGACTCCGGGTCGAAGGGCTCTGCAGCCGCCACGGGCGCCGTGAGCGGCAGGTCGGTGTTGATGCCGACGATCTGCACAACAAATATACACTTCAATCAACTCATTTGAACATACAAAATGTGTTGGAACAGCACACCACAATTGTTCTTGTAACGAATTTATTTTTTCTACTTTAGAATCGTTTTGATTTGAAACTTGATGAAACGGAAAAGCGAAACTAAGAGGAAACAAACATATACAAATTTAGTCGCAGGCTAAATTTTATAGATATATATGTTGATGAGAATGAAATAGAATACAGTATACAGTGTTTATTATAAATTTAATTAGATTTTAATCACATAAACCGTACAATTATCCCTGATAATCTGCATTTGTCTCATTCTCTCAATGTTTAGTTTTCTGAAGGTTTCACTCCTACTGTGTGTAAATTAAACGCATATTTTTTATTCATTTATGAGCCTAGAGATATTATTGTTATTATCAACTGTCCACTGGGTTAAGTTGTCGTCAAAATCTTCTAACAACTTGTCAATATCACCCATGAGCATAATACTTTGAAGAATTTTTGTGAACAAAATACACATCAGACTAGGCTATATGGTCTTTTTTTATAGGATAAGGGTGACAAACGAGCACACAGTCCACCCAATGGTAAGTGGTTACTGTGGCCCATAGACACCTACATCTATCACCAAAATACAGATACGTTGTCACCCATGAGAACTAAAATGGAATGCCTCGTTTCCAGAAAATAGGGTCTCCAGTTCTCTACACTCACCAAACGAAACACATCAGCGTTAAGCTATAGTCTCTACTCTGTGTGGCTTTTTGACCACAGACTATTAAGTGTGTTGACATTGGCAATATAAATGTAAACAATGAATGTTTTATTTTCTGTAATGTATTTGTAACACATGTATTAAAACAGAAATTTTAGCTTTTTGCACTCCTTCATATAAACTTTAACTATGTCAAATTTCACACTTCTTAGTGTGCGCAATATGCTTAAAAGGAAGTACAAAGTTTTGCTTTCACATATCACATATATGAAAGATTGATTTTATGTTCATACATTGTGCGTGGTAACATTGTCACATTGATCAATATTTTTGCAGATTTTTAGGAATTCTTTTTTTTTTATATGATAGGATGACAAACGAGCACACAGTCCACCTGATGGTAAGTGGTTTCTGTGGTCCATAGACATCTACATCTATCCTCGTTTGAGAATCAAAATGCAGATGCGTTGTCACCCGTGAGGACTAAGTTGGAAAGCCTCTTTTCCAGTAAAAAGGGTCTCCGGTTCTCTACACTTACCATACGAAACACAGCAGTGTTAAACTGCTATTTTACGCTGGTATTCTGTGAGAGTGTGTTCCTTCCCCGGTCGAGCCGACCCACTCGTGCTACAACTATACAAGTAATATAGCTTTAGCATGGCTCTACCACGTAAAAAAGTCTAAGACCTTTGCCTTCCTTAAATGGAGAATACATAAACAAAGAACAAAGACTTCTGTTTTTTATTGTGGAAAATGGTCATGGATACTAGGCTACGGTGTCAACAGAAAGGTTATGCCGGATTCTTACCGGCTAAAAAAACCCACGGTGATCATCATCAGCGTATACGACAGGTCTTGATATCTGCGTTCGGAATATTTGACCGGAAATTTGGAACAAAAACTATCACGGCTGTGGATCATGCGGGCGGGTAGTTGGCTATAATAAGTTACTTCGTACTAAGTTTTAAGATTCTGAGTTCACGGGAAGTACCCTGTAAGTTTTGATTCCCTTGCGAATGTCGAAAATTTGCGGCATAAACGGCTGTATCTTTTGATTGCGTTAGCTTAGAAGTTTGATTTTTTCACAGCTCCAAGGGACAATAGATTTGAGCATTTGATATGGATTTCAGCTTGATACCTCCACGCGTTCCTGAGAAAGAGTCTTGACAGACAGACAGACAGACAGACGGACAACAAAGTGATCCTATAAGGATTCCGTTTTTTCCTTTTGAGGTACGGAATCCTATAATTAATAAAATTATATTCCAACCCAAGCATACAACTGCAAGACTTCAAGATACTGTTAGTTCACACTGCATAGATCGGAACAAAAATTAATCATTTTAATTTGGAGGTAGCTGCGGTTAACTATGACATTGGGAACTTAAACACTTCAGTCCCCCCTCCCCCCTCCCTTTTGTGACCTTGGGTGCTGAAAAGTACTCTAAACGTTGGGAATCTAAAATAAGTTAATATACGCGATAAAATTCGTAAAACTAGTTTTATTTATACAATTGGTTCATATATTAAGTGTGAGTATATTAGTAACAATTTTACTTAAATTATGTTAGTAATGTATATGTGCGTACATAATATGTATATTATAATTCATTTATTTGAACGCTATTGCCAGCTCTAGCCAGTGTTGTTGAAAGTGGCAATCTGATTTTGCTGTTATCATTTTTAGAATGTTGTTGTTTTACTGTTTCGTAGATGTTGTAACATTAAGGCTGATTTCTTTCGCATAACAGCATGAAATTCATCAGTCGTAGCATCTGTGAACAGTTTCGAAGCACTATAGCGCCAAGGCAGTTTCAACAGCATTCTAAAGGCGTTATTGTATTGAATGCGAATATAAAAAGGATACGATTATTTAAGCGGGAGGAAGCGGGGACTGTAATACCGATATTTTGCAAGTATCGATATCGGGTTATCAATATAAATACTAATATGTTGGTATTAATTTATCGATATTTGGTTGTAGTACATAAATATCGATATACTTGGAGTCAGTTTATTGGTATACAGGGTCATTTTTAATTTACTGAAGACCTTTTGGGAATATATTGGTTACATCATTACAAACAATTTTGTGAGATCACTCTTCACAGAATATAATACATTTACGAAAAAACTACTTTTAAGGTTTTGTTGTCATGTCTGACTCCTTTTAAGTCTGTATTTTGTAGTACCTAAACAAAGTCAGAATAAATCGTCAAAGAAAATGCCTAAATAAGGCATTTTTACACTTGATACAGTATGAAACATTATGTTGAAATCATTAAACATAATTAAATGAGCAAATGACATTCAAAAAAAAACCACAAATATTAAAATTTATAATAAGTAAGAATGACCGCCGGGCCGGTCGACGCCCGCGCTCAGCTGATTGCGTTGCGAGTAGGGTTACCAGATGAAAAAATTAAAAGTCCGGAGAAGAGGCCTGATTTCCATTTAAAAATCCTGAGATTGTTTTACAGTTTGAGAAGAAAACCTTACTTAAAAAGGTATCTTCGCATATTAAGTATGATAAAACTGTTTAAAGTACCTACTTGGATAAATAAGTTTTGATTTTAATTGTGGAATTATTATCAAAGGAAAATTATTTTTAGTTTGTTTAACTTTTTATTAAGAGATCTTTTAAAATGTAAGCTGTATTATATTGAAAGTTCTAAAAATCCTGAGATTTCATGAGATTTGCAAAATCCAGCCGCAATCCTGAGAAGAGTCTAAAAATCCTGAAATCTCAGGACAAATCCTGAGATATGGTAACCCTAGTTGCGAGAGCCTACTAAACCATTCATCACTGTGCCTATTGCACCAGGGCGCCACTTTAAATGACTTTTCATTAACTTTTCATATACTTCTTTATTTTGCATAAAACCATTTGATGAACTATTTGATTCTTTTATTAATTTCTTTAAGAATTAATAGACATTCTTTAATAGACATTTAGGTAGTTTTTTTACGAATACTGTTTGCTAGCAACTCTGCCTGCATCCAAGAGGCAACGCCTCAACGTCGCACATGCGGCGGCCCAAGGCCAAGCCAACGATATATTATAACGTCGACACAGGTGTCACCGTCAAACACCATCAAAGGCGCCGCCTGCCCTTTTCGGTTTGCAGGCATCGATTTGGTGATCGATGTTTGCAGCACGTGCAAATTAAATGAGTATTATTAACTATTTTTTTTTGTTTAATTTAAGTTGTATTTAAAAAATGGATGCAGGTTAAAATAATTACAAATATTGCAACAAAATATTTATAATGATTAAATACAAATTAACAGTAATTGAATAAAGATATTAAGGTATAATGGTTCAATAAAAATATTAAAATACAAATTTAAAAATTAGACTTACCTAGGTACTTGTCCGCGGATGGCGGTGAGTATCGCGCACATAGCGTTCAAAATAATCACCTCCACATTCTATGCATAGGTGACACCTAAAACTTAACTGTTCACCGACACGAGATAATACTTGATGATTCATTTTGATTTGATTGAATGCCCAAATTATTTTTTCTTTCAACATGTCGCGGGTTTTGAATGCTCGACCAGTATACACTAATGTCTTTACATGCCCCCACAAATAAAAATCCATTGGTGTGATATCTGGCGATCTGGGAGGCCATGCACAAGGCCCGTCTCGACCGACCCAGCGACCAGGGTATTCTCTGTTTAAATAATCCTTAACTTGGCGAGCATAGTGTGCCGGCGCCCCGTCAAGTTGATAATACATATTGCGTAGAGATGCAAGTGGTATGTCCTCTAACAACTCTGGCAGCGTGTCGGTGAGAAAACTATGATAGCTTTCACTGTTTAATCTTTCTATGAAGACCGGGCCCAGTAACGTTGTATTAATGACGCCTGCCCACACATTGACACTAAACCGGTGTTAAAAGCTATGCGGTCTTGGTTCATGTGGATTTTCATAGCACCACAAGTGTTCATTGTGCGAATTAAATAGTCCTATTCTGCCAAATGTTGCTTCATCAGTCCATAAAATGTTGGCTCGTTCAGCAGCTAGTAACCAGTTACAAAATGTAACTCGCGCTGGTTTGTCAGCTTCGCTGAGTTCATGAACACGATGTAAGTGGAAAGGGTACTTCCCTTCATTGTGTATGACACTCCATGCGTAGTACTGTGACACATTGAACTGTCGGGCTGCCTCATAAGTGCTCGCTGCTGGATTTTGTTCAAAAAACTGCAGTATGTCTTCCTGCTCACGTACTGTGCGCCGCGGTGGACGACCACGATCGATTGATACAGGCTGGAATTGCCCGTAATCTCGCAATCGCTGTGTAGTACCTAGCATCGTACCGTAGCTCGGTGCACGTGAGTTGGGAAATCGCCTTGAATATTCACGGCAGGCTTCACTAACGTTATCATTGCAAATTGCTAAAATTCGCACCATTTCGGTATACTCAATATTTGAGTATCGGTATGCCATTGTAACAACGCGTAACGTTCGCGATATTAATCTCACAACGGAAGGAGAAAAGTCGCGGGCGCACAAAAGGCGACTGACCGACTGACGACAGATAATTAGGTCAAGTTCAAATGAGCAAGCGCCGCCTCCTACACCCCTCCACCCCTACCCCGCCACGCGCTTTATTTTGCTATTTAGGACTATTGCCGTTTAGAAGGTCCAATTAAAATATTTTTATTTTTGTATGAAAATAAAAATTGAAGAAATATAATTTCTTTTCTTACAGATGTTGTTGTTATGATGTCAATAATATATTCCCAAAAGGTCTTCAGTAAATTAAAAATTACCCTGTATAGTGCGCGCAAGATAACTCTGCGCGCGACTGATGGCGTACTTAGAATAGAATAGAATAGAATAGAATGATTTTTATTCAATATGGATTATTACATAATACTTATTGAAAGTCATTATTTTATTTACCACTGGTTCGGAAAATACCTCTGTCCTGGGAAAAACCAGCTAGAAACCCAGCGGGACTTTTTTTTAAACATAATTTCACTTAACAATAATTTTGTTTATACAATTTTAAATGAATTTTCATAGAACCAGCATGGTGGCGATCACCTTATTCCCAGGGGTTATTTTCATTCATGTATTCCTTGATATTATAATAACCCTTTTTGTACAGTTTTTCTTTAATAAAACTTTTAAACTTGTTTATTGACAAACTTTGAACATGTTCTGGGATTCTGTTGTAAAAGCGTATACATTGCCCCATAAATGAATTACTAATTCTGTGGAGTCTTGTAAGTGGCATTACAAGCTTATGTTTGTTCCTAGTGTTTAAGGTATGAACATCCTTATTCTTATTAAAGCTTATTTTATGTTTTTATGTACATACATTACATTTTCATAAATATATTGCGATGCCAAAGTTAATATGTTTATTTCTTTAAATTTTTCTCTAAGGGACTCTTTACAATTTAGATTATAAATCGCCCGTACGGCTCTCTTTTGCAAAACAAATATAGCTTCAATATCAGTCGCATTACCCCATAGCAAAATTCCATAAGACATTACGCTATGAAAGTAACTAAAATACACTAACCTAGCTGTCTCAACCTCTGTGAGACTTCTAATCTTTCTTACAGCATATGCTGCAGAACTAACTTAATGTTACTAGCTTAACAAATATTTATTTCCTTCATTTAAGCTTATTACTAGAATTATATAATTATATAAAATTACATAAATGACCGAATTGATTACCAAAGCTCAGTTAAAAACACTGTCATGTTCAGGTTAAACTTACAAAGACCTAATAAATATTAAACCCTATATTTATTGTTTAAGATTCGCATAATAAATATATTTCTTGATTGTAACTTCTGTAAGTTTGACACAAGTATCACAAGTTTCTATGATAATATTTAAGTTAATATAAAATTATTCTTTAAAATAATTTGGAAACGTTTAATTTATGCGAGCGAGTTTGAGAAAAAAAAAAACACCATTCACTTTTAATTTAGGTATTCTTCTCAGCCAAGCCTTTTATTTGATATCCATATCATTGGAATGCACAAAAAATAACTAGTCCTCCATCTTTGGGAGTCCGCCATATTGGATTTAGAATGAGGTCATATATTTTCATTTAAACTTAACGTATATGCAAAATTTTTGCTCCATCGAGAACCTAAAAGTTGGTGAAATTTAACTTTCAATTTTTTTTTACACAATTATAGGTGAAGATATTATATGCGTATTAAAAATGACTATTATTATGATTCATGAACACTGATATTTTGTCTATAATGAATTTTTTAAGAAAGGTATTTTAAAAATATTTATTATAAAGAACGAAATTAAAAGTCCATGGGAGTTTATTTATGGCAGGAATCTCTTTCTTTACAATGTCAAACAATTGGTTTAAATGCCTTATAGCCACACGTATCAAAATCGTCTAAATCATAATTTTTTCTTCAGGGTCCTAGTGTTTCCAGGCATCACAATTTTAGAAGATGAAGCTACTGCTACATTATGTAGTTTGGTTAGTTATTTGGGTGACGGTGAGTTCAGAAGCGACTAAAACACAATAAAAACAATGCATTATAAATTCATGATATTAATGACACGAGGAAACTTAAAACGAATAAATCGAGAAAATTAGGGAGTTTTATTTGTTATGGCAGCCTTAAAAATTACTTGTGAAGTATGAAATGTGGGCTCTAATTTTGGAAAACAGTACTGTAGGCTCGTTATTGTCTCGTTCTTCTTCACAAGCACGTTCGACCTTCAAAATAATATCCCTACTAGCAATTTTAATCACTTTCGGCATAATGATGACGATTATTTACTGCAAAAATGAATTAAAACACGACACCTAACAATCTGTCTTGATACCTGTCATAAACAGTAAGATGGCGGCACACGATTAGTTCCAATTTTGGCCGCGCGCAGAGATATCTTGCGCGCATTATATTGATACTGATACCAATATATCGATACAATAAAAATAAATTCCTCGTTCTCGCGTGTTACTTGCTGTTTCTAACATTAACGGTTATAGTTAAGGTACGCGGTCATACGTAAGTGCGTTCTGTTGGTGTGTGTTGAAATAGTTGAAGGCGTATTTCGGTGGAATTAGACAGGTGTACGAAGTGAAGGGCTTCATTGATAAACATTGTAGGAAGCTAACCTCCGGGGCGCGGCGCGGCAGCGGCGTGGAGTGCGCGCGGAACGGGCGCGCCAGCCGCTCCAGCAGCCGCGCGCGCTTGGCCGGCAGCTCCGGCAGCTCCGGCAGCTCCGCGCAGCCGCCGGGCCCCGAGCCCGCCGCGCTCTCCGCACCCGCCGCGCCACCCGCACCCCCCGCACCCGCCGCGCCGTCCGGCCGCCGCTTGCGCCCCACCACCGTGCCCGTCGGCCGCGACGGCGCACACTCGCCCCCTACACCGCAACATTGCATTATAATCAATACGGTCACCCGACACTTTACATTACATTATATAAAACTTGTTAAACCATACTTCGCTCACATCCGCTCGATCAAATAAAATACTATGGAATTTCCAAAAGTGCCTCGTGAACGGTTTTATTTCTTTCATCAAAATTTCATTTAATTTACAAACAATTTACACAAAAAAGACTTTTAAACGATATTGAATTAGTTTGAATAAATCCTCCTTAAAATATATGAAATCTTATGTAATACTATATATCTCAATCTATTGCATTTAATCGAAAAACTCACCAACACACAGACTAATGAACGGCAATCCATATATATTTTCAATTACATTTTTTATTATATAATCTAAAATAAATCAATTAGAAAAATAAACCTTATAATTTAATATCTGTAATTATTAATACATTAATAATATGAATTTAATGTCTAGCTAAAAATACAAGTACAAAACTAAAGTACAACCACATATCGAAAGTAAGAACACTACCTCACATTATGAGGCATGCAAAATAAGACAGTACAACAACAAGATGTATAAACAGCAACTATTTTAGTAAACCCCTATCTTAGTAGTCAACGAAATGCCTAATGTAATGACGAAACACGTGTCGTATCATTCATGGTGTGTTTCTCCTAATGTACACTCATAGCAACCACTAATCACCAGGTGGACTGTGTGCTCGTTTATCACCTATATATATATAGATAAAAAAAATGATGCAAATAGTTAACATATTTATAAAGGCATATATTATGTTGACATATTAGTGGTCATTTAGGTTAAAATATAGCTCAGGTAGGGGCTCGGCACTAGTGCTGCAGTTGCGTACCTTGCGGGCGCTGGGCAGCGGCAGCAGATCCCACGTGAAAGCTGCGCAACGTGACGCTGGGCAGCGGCTTGTAGGAGCGTCGGGCGCGGATGCTGCGCAGCCCGCTCAGGTAGCTGTCCTCCAGCGATCCCGCCTCCTCCCCGCCAACCGAACACTCCGTGATGTCCATCTCCATCGTCGTGTTGTTGCCTGCAATTTCATATTTTAATTTTTCAGAATACTTTTTATTGCACACTAATAAAAACAAATCACATAATAACAATAATTTTAATAAGTAATATTTACCATCTACATTCAATAAAAACAATTTTGTAAATATATTTTGTATTTCAAATAAGTAATGCTTTATAAGTAAGTAGTGCTTTACATTAAATGAAAATATCGCAATGTTTTTTTTTTAGATAAGGGCCAAGTGTGTAAGAAATAAAATTTAGGAAACCTAGTTGAAATGTATCTAGTAGTTTTTCCGTGATGCGTGCACAATTGCATACCTGTATAATTGTATTAATTTAGATGAGTGGCAATGATTAGATAGTGGTATATACGGACCGGTGTAGTTGGCGAGCAGCGAGCTGGCGGTGGTGTCGGCGGTGTCTGCGGTGTCGGCGGTCTCCGCGGTGTCCGAGTCCGGGCGGCGCACGCGGCGGTAGGGCGACACGCGCACGCGCGAGCGCGAGTATTTGGTGTCGCGGCGCCGCACGCGCTCTGCAAAGCGCACCTCACACTACACATATCGCCGCACTGCCCCCCACCATCCTCCCTCCACACACACGCACGCACGCACGCACGCACGCACGCACGCACGCACGCACGCACGCACGCACGCACTCACGCACTCACGCACGCACGCACACACGCACGCACGTACGCACGCACGCACGCACGCACGTACACACACACACAAACACACACATGTGCACCATTTACAACCTATCAAATGTCCAATGTATTCTATAAAATATTATATTGTCAATTTTTTTTTAAAAAGTGCAGATTGGTTTCTTGCTGGTTCTACACTTTTTTTCGAACCATTGGTAAAGCTTAAATAACTTTCATTAAGTATTCTTGTATTATACCGAGTGACGATAAAGTTATCACATTAAATGAAAATACGTACCCTACATATATTTCTTTAAACATACACAACTAAAAAAATATATAACAATTAATATTCTAGTCACCGTAGCATTTTTTTCCTTTTAATATTAAATAACATCATGTAAATGCATATAGATACCCATGGCATTTGAAGGCGAATATTTTTTTTTTATAGAATAGGGGGCAAACGAGCATGCGGCTCACCTGATGGTAAGTGACTACCGCCGCCCATGAACAACCGCAACACCAGGGGAATTGCAAATGCGTTGCCGGCCTTTTAGAAAGGTGTAAGCTCTTTTCTTGAAGGTTCCTAAGTCGTATCGGTTCGAAAAATTCGCTGGTGGTAATTGATTCCACAAAGAAGTTGTGCGAGGGAGAAAACTTCTTCTAAATCGCACAGTGGTGGACCGCCAATCATCCAGATGGTATGGATGGTAACGCGAGTTTTGTCGCGACGTGCAATGGTGAAATTGAGCGGCTGGAATTAGTCCGAACAATTCCTCAGAGCACTCCCCGTGATAGATGCGATAAAATACGCAAAGAGATGCAACATCTCTACGCAATGCCAGTGTATCGAGCCGATCGGAAAGAACTCGGTCGTCGACGATTCGAATCGCTCTGCGCTGGATGCGGTCAAGTGGAAGGAGCTGGCACTGGGGTGCCCCGGCCCAGAGATGAGAACAGTATTCCATGTGGGGCCGAACTTGCGCTTTGTAAAGTTGCAAGCGATGTGCCGGCATGAAATACTGTCTCGCTCTGCTGAGCACGCCAAGCTTTTTAGAGGCCAATTTGGCCTTCCCTTCCAAGTGACCACGAAACTGCACGCTATTCGATATGTCGACGCCAAGGATTCCGATACTGGCTGAGGCAGCAAGGGGAGTGCCTTGTTTAAACGTTGTCAATTCAAAATACTCAAATAAAGAAAAAATCAAGCAAAAAATGTACTTACGGTTAACAATTTAAGACATAATTATATGCGCGGATTTAAAAACAAAGGGACTGCGCGCTGCGGTGTGTGAAAACAAATTCAAGCGAAAAATTTACTTGGACTTTTTAATAAGTTTCTTAATTTGTTTGTGATAGGACACGTTAATAATACACTAGATTAGATATTTAATAACTTAGTGGTGTGACAGCCCGTGCGTAATTGCATGCTTTTATTTTTTAAACGACTTAACTTTTTTTTAATTTTGAGATGCTTTATCACAATTTCACGTCGTCAGAATACACCGACATGATTTTTTTTTTAAATTTGATTTGTTTTGATTATTAATCTTGAGTGATTTCAAAATTAGTGTGATTATTTGGATAAAAACAATACCATGAAATTTATGATTCGTTGATAACACCGGATTAGCATCGCCCTTATAATTAAAAGGGTTTATTTATCTCTTCTAATCATCAATATTCGAAAAGTTTTCGCCAGCCTCAGAGCTCTCGTAAAGTTTCCGATGCAAACTGTCACAATTATCGAAAACAAACGTCAAAGAAGTACGGTCACGCCCCATAGAAAAAAACCCAGACCCGACAGAAACGAGACATATCTAATTTTTTTTTCTTATTTATTATATAGTTAAATTATATATTTTTTATATTCGATATCAATGGCTAACTCCAAAATATAGCATTATGTTTTTGTTCAGGCATTACTCTAAAAAAATACAAAAGCCTATTTATCTACAAAATTCGTAAATGCATGTAACTAAATGACGATACAATAGTTATAGGATGTATCTAAGTGACCTTTATCCGAACGTTAAATGTGAATAGCGTTTATTGGTTTCGGTGCGAGAAGTTATCGAATCCGAGTCGATTTCGCTTTCCGAGACGATTGTGAATAGCCCTGCAGGTCAGTAAACTAATATTATCAATTTTTAACACTATTTATTTTGTTTGCAAAAATGCATTTTTTATTTTCTTTTATTATTGTTTAATTTATTATTTTAACAGACATATATCAACTTGTATGAACTGCTGCACTATTTAACGTGATAACCTAAGCGCCACCCAGTATGTATGTATATATATATATATATATATATATATATACATACATACTGGGTCGGTCCTATATATATATATATATATATATATATATATATATATATATATATATATATATATATATATAGGACCGACATAGCCCAATGGATTAGTAAGCTGAAATGGCAATAGTCCGGCCATATAGCTTGAAGAACCGGCAACCGATGGAAAAAAAATTCTCGAGTGGCAGCCTAGTAGGCGAAGTGTAAGGCGTCCCCACACTAGATGGAATGACGACCTAGTAAGACATGCAGGAAGTCGATGGATGAAAGTGGATCATGACCATGCTTTGTGGCATTCCTTGAAGGCCTTTGTTCAACAGCGAACTTGTGAAGCAGTGGCAAACGGGTTGGCAACCACAATTTGTTATCTTCAGCTGTTATCAGGAAGATGCTGCTGTCAATTTCGTTTTTCAGATTCCCTCTGTCGCCGCTTACGACACCCGGGGGCCGATATAGGGAAGATGATATTCTTATGACAACAAACATACATACACACACACGCACGCACACATACACGTGATAAATCAGCAATTAAAATTGCAATTAACAATAACATTGACGACAACGTGGATCGAATTCAATTTATTTAGATCATAAGAATTTCTATACTTTCTTTTAAAGTAAGAAACTGCCTAAACAAATTGCTAATAAAATTGAATAACTTTTTCCTTTCAATTATATTGGCCGTTTATACAAACAAATTTAAATGTAACAAACGGTAAAATTAAAAATTTTGTACAACCGGCTTCAATATAAATATAATGAGTACATCATCAATGCAGTAGGTAGTTGAAGTCTGTTAAATAGGGGCTGGTGATTTGTCGTACAGGGAATCCTAATATAAACACCAGTCTCTCACAAATTGATTAAAACATAATATAAATATTAAGCTGTATGTTATGTTATTTTTTAAATTTGGGAGAGAAAAGAATAAACTTCATTGTTATTATTAAACAGGGTTATTTTTCAGAGTAGAAAATTTTAATATTTAAGTTCAAATATATAAATAATGATACACAGTTATTGCAGTTTTTAAAATACGAGTAAATAAGGCTTCTACTTTTTTTTTATTATCTCAAATTGAATGTAATTTATGCACAACAACTATTCGTACGCGCGCTCCTCTGTATGCGATTAAATTCATAACGTTTTTGCCGATCGATCGATTCTTTCGAATGTGTGCGTGCGTAGTAAAACAGTAGGCGTTAGATATTTATGAATGACAATAAGTTAAAATAGTGCACTCTGAATAGAAAAGATAAAACGGACAGAAATTTTGAGATTTTTTTAAATTAATTTTTCTTCACCATTTGCCTATATTAATTATTCTAAAATTTGGCCGGTTATTGCAAAATAACCCTGTATATCAGAGCAACATTTTTTTTTAAAACTCACCTTCGCTATTTTCCCCTTCAACCGTCACTTCTATTTCAACTCTCTCAGATTTCTCTAAGATCACCTTCTCCTGTTTGTCCTCTTCTTTATCCTTCTTTTCTTCATCTCCTTTCTTCTTTGGTGATTCATGTTGCTTTTTGGGCGACTCCTTCTCCTGTGACTTCTTGTCCGATGGTTTTGGCGAGTCCGCGGAACGTAGCTTGCGATCAGTCATTGGTATGTCCTCTTTCAATTTGAGTAGCTTTGGTTCCTTCGACTGGAACGACATAACAATAACTTGTCTTTTTAATCATTAAAGTATTATTAAAGATAAAAATAGGTAGAAAAGAGTTATTTTAAAAGTCGAATATGTATACAAATGATTGTTTACTATAGTGAACAATTATTACCACAACAACAAAGCCAACGTCCATTTATATGAGCGATAATTCTAATGTATGGTTTTGGATTGATATAATATATTTAAAAGAAATATTTTAATGCAAGCTCTTCTTTTATACATATAAATAAAATTTAAATGCATGCCCGTAACTTGAAATAACTGGCTTCTATTAACCTCAGCGAGTTATTTGCATGCCCTTAAGACATAAATAACCATTTTAAAATGTTTTTCTCTCTGTCCGTCTTTTCTGAGCTTAGGAATGACTGAACCTATTGCGATGAAATTTTACGAAGAGGAAATAATTGATATTAATAGATTGATCGCTTTGATTGAACTAATTGGGGCGGATTGCTAGTGTGAAGTAAAAGTACTTTTACAGATTTTATCGCGCTTAACTTGTTTTTACTATACGCTTAGAATACTTTGCAGTCCACGTGGTCACGGAGGGGCCTGAAGTGTGACGTCGCAAGATCATAATATGCGAAACGACAAACTATGAAATCGGGACGTCATACACCACAGTCCTTCCCGTAATGCACTAGAATGCGGTACATCCATCAAAATTCATACATCCCTTTGCAGTACTCATGGTCTCTACCGTGACCATGAGTGCTACAAAGTACCCGAAACGTCGGGAGTTACAAAAATAAAACACAAAGTTGGATTAAATCGAGTACTTAAAAGTAGTTTCATTCAATGTGAAGTGTTCGCGTAAATATAAGAAACTATTATCTCCGTCTAGATCAGGCTACAAGTTATAAGCTATCTAATGAGGAATTTCCATAATCGTCATGATTGGCAGTCGGATCGTAGTTGTTTTTTATAGAATAAGGGTGACAAACAAGCACACAGTCCACCTGATAGTAAGTGGATGCTGTAGCCCGTAGACATCCACATTTACCCTCGATTAAGAATCAAAATGCAGATGCGTTGTCACCCCTGAGAACTAAGATAGAGTGCCTCGTTTCCCGTCCAAAGTCCAAAAGGGTCACCGGTTCTCTACGCTCACCATACGAAACACAGCAGCATTAAGCTGCTATTTTTACGCTGGTATTCTGTGAGAGCATGGTCCCACCCCGGTCGAGCTGACCTATTCGTACTACAACCATAATATAGCTGCAGCATGGCTCTACCACGTAAGCCATATATCTCGCACCAGTGTGCCACAAAGCACACATACACAAACAGGTACCGCCAGTGACAAGAAGCAACTTTGATGTTCTGTATCATGATCTTTCAGAGTCCATGGATTTTACCGGCTTCATCATTTTCATCAATCTTCATCAATCACTCCTTTCAACTCGTTAACTGATGGCGTAGCATTTGACTTCCGAAAAGTGCTTTGCAAAATCCAATTTTAAATAAAAATATTTAAATTTGACAACACCCATGAGAAGACAGCTGGTGGTGTGGAAGGTGAAAAAAGAAAAATTAGAACTAACATACTGTCTAACATTATTGCTTACCGTTACCGTTACAGCCTATTAAAGTCCACCGCTAAACATAGGCCTCCCCCATAGATTGCCTCATAGGGGGATATTTGCCATAGTTGCCACGTTTGGCAAGCGGGTTGGCAACCGCTGTTTTTATTTTTAGTCGTTATTAGGAAGACGCTGCTGCCCGTCTCCTGATTTGTTTCCCTCTGTCGCCTCTTACGACACCCACGGGATATTATGGGGTAGTGGATATTCTTACACCGCCACTACACCGTTATTGCTTGAATTCAAATACTTAATATTTAAATGTATCAACAAAACAGTTACAATAGTCATTTCATGAATAATGAAATTATATAATATACATATTCGACCGATAATAAATTTTGATGAAACAAAAAACAGCAAACAAAAGTGCAAATGTAAAAAGTAAAAACAATGTCATATATAATCAGCTGGTGTTCAAGGAAACGTGGAAGCCCACCACAAGTGTGTGTTATGAGATACTGTATGCTTGTGTAGTGCTGAGAACTCAGTGTTGAAAAGAGACAGAATGTGAACAGTCTGTAAAGTACCATTGAGATGCTTCATGCATACACACCCTATATTTCTGAGAGGGATGGAACAGGATAGTCAAAAACACTGTTTGAATATGTATTGCCACACCGTGATAGTATCGAACATGTTGTCTATGACTATAGACTATGTGGAAAATTGGTACATAAAAACAATTGCTAATTATAAGGTGCCTGCAATGTTAATCCAACTTAGGCTTTACTTGTATTATAAAATTTCATATAATATGTCATCTTTTTATAGGGTACTCTGTGACCCATAGACAATGATACTAATGCTAATGTTTTTACCCCTGAGGACTAAGATGGAATGCCTCGACATCACTAATAGAATCTTGGTTTTTAATTACAAAATAGAACAAAGCAGCATTAAGGTGGCAGTTCAAGTCGAGACCGAAGCGAGGGATAGAGACGGGAGCGGGAGACGGGAGACGGGAGCGGGAGAGACGGGAAGTATCGATCACGATCTCCTGTCTCTATCTCAACTCGAACCGACATCTTAATGTTGCTATTTTGTTCTGATATTTTTGAAGAAAATTTTTATTTCTATAGGCGGAAACCATTACGATGTAGAGGCGCTTCTATACAAGAGATAAAATTAAAAATTTTATGCAACGAACTTTCTATATAAATTATTAAGGATAACTCGAAAACTACTGGTCAGACCTTGATCAATGGGACTACATGAGAAACACCAACTTTGAAATAAAAAAGAATCATCAAAATCAGACACCCTAGAAAAAAGTTATGATGTCGATTACAAGTTGTGACAAACAAACTCACAGTCCACCTGTGGTAATTGGCTAATGTAAAACTCTGCCATAGGGCTGCCAAGCAGAATGCCATGAACCATTTTATTACAAATCGTGTTGTTACCAATAAGAATAAGCTACCGGAAAATGTGATTGATGCTCACATTGAATGCCTTCAAGAACAGACTGGATAAAATCTCCAAACATTAAGTATTATGCACGCGCATCAGCTTTTTAGCGGTTGTGTTTATGTATTAATATGAATAATCTGCAACCAACGATTTTTTATAAGAAAAGAGGCAAATGAGCATGCTCATTTGCCTCTTTTTCCTACAAAAAAACGTTACTATATTGCCATTTTTTTTAATAGAAGAGGGGGTACACGAGCATACGGCTCACCTGATGGTAAATGACTACCACCGCCCATGAATAACTGCAACACCAGGGGAATTGCAGATGCGTTACCGGCTTTTCCTTTTCCTAAGTTGTACCGGTCCGGAAAAATAACTGGTGGTAGTCGATTCCACAAGGAAGTTGTGCGAGCGAGAAAATCTCTTGTAAATTGCACAGTGGTAGACCGCCAATCATCCATCGTATCGATGGTATCGCGAGTTTTGTCGCGATGTGCGATGGTGAAATTGAGCGGCTGGAATTAGTCCGAACAATTCTTCAGAGCAATCCCTGTGTTAGATGCGATAAAATACGCAAAGAGATGCAACATCTCTTAGCAGTGCCAGTGGTCAACCCAATCGGAAAGAGCTTGGTCGCCGACGATTCGAACCGCTCTGCACTGGATGCGATTAAATGGAAGTCTAAGCCTAAAGCGCGTATTTTGCGTGTGGGCAGGATATCGTTTTTTTTTTATAGGATATAAGTGACAAACGAGTATACAGTCCAACTGATGATAAGTGGTTGTGGCTCATAGACATCTACATTTATCCTCTACTACGAATCAAAATGCAGATGCATGGTCACTGGTGAGGACTAAGATGGATCGTTTCCACTAAAAGGGTCTCCGATCTCTACACTCACCATCCAAAACACAACAGCATTAAGCTGCTATTTTACGCTGGTATTATGTGAGAGCGTGGTCCTTTCCCGGTCGCGCCGACCCATTCGTGCTACAACTATACTACTAATATAGCAGCATGCTAGTATGCTGCAGCATGGCTTTGCCACATATAAAATTTGATTATTCGAGCCATGAAATTTCCCTGAAGATGATTAACAGTTCCTTGGTGTTGTGAGCAACTTCGAGGAGTGATCCTGGCGTGCCGAAAGGTTTAGCCCTATATGTAGCGACCTCCGAACATGCCAGCAACACATGGGCTGCCGTTTTCTCCTCCACCATACATGCCCTGCACAGGGGACTATCTATAACCGCGATCCATGTCCTGTTATAGCACTTGTTGCTATTTTGAGTAGTGTATAAGATGTATAAGTAGTGTGTGTGTGTGTGTGTGTGTGTGTGTGTGTGTGTGCGTGCGTGCGTGCGTGCGTGCGTGTGTGTGTGTGTGTGTGTGTGTGTGTGTGTGTGTGTGTGTGTGTGTGTGTGTGTGGGTGTGTGTGGGTGTGGGTGTGTGTGGGTGTGTGTGTGGGTGTGTGTGTGGGTGTGGGTGTGTGTGGGTGTGTGTGTGTGTGTGGGTGTGGGTGTGTGTGTGTGTGTGTGTGTGTGTGTGTGTGTGTGTGTGTGTGTGTGTGTGTGTGTGTGTGTGTGTGTGTGTGTGTGTGTGTGTGACTTACATCGTCTGTTTCCTTGTCTGCTTGTTTATCAGCTTGTTTGTCGGAGGCGGGTCTGGGTGTCTCTGGTGTGCGTGTCACCTTCACCTTTGTATGGAACATCACCGGCTTGTTAGGGAGTTAGTACTGCGTCACACTCCACAAATGAAATGTTTTAATTTTAATTTTATGTTAATTTAACCTACCAAAAAATAATAAATAGGTGAAAACATAATTGCGGGGTAAAACTCCAGTGGTGATCTATACCAAACCAAAAGCTAATGTTGCCACACCTAAAAATATTATTACAATACTTTATAAATGAGTCATAATAATCATGCTAAATACATTCTATGTCCTTAATTAGTAATTTATCCTATTATGTATATAAAATAGTCCCTAAACATCTAGCAAGTGTGGTCATATTATTTTGTTGAGCAATGTTACAAGATTGTCAAAACCAATTTAACATAATTATATTTTGACGGCTCCGTGGCGCTGTGGCTTAGCAATGAGTTGCTGAGCTGGGGGACGTGGGTTCGAATCTCGCACGGAACAAGTATTTGAATGGCCTACAAATAATTGTTCCGGGTCTGGATGTTTGTCCTTGTGCAATTTATGTTTATAAACTGCCTCCACGACACAGGAGAAAATCCTAGTGTGGGGGTAACGTTTTTTAAGAAAAAAAAATATTTAGAAAGAAGTTTAATTTTTTTTTTAATTTAAGACAATATTAAATAATTAATCTTTGAACTTGTATTGTTATTTTTAAAATATGTATTTAAGCTGTGCTTCAATGTGAACCATCAACGTTTTATGAACTGTTACCACAACCCAAGGACGAGCACAACAAATGAATTACAAAAATGAAAAATTTACAATAAAAGTATGGTGATTTAAGATTGAATCAATGAACTTGCATCATTATATTTAGAATTGTATTTGCGTTGCTTCAATCTAACTATCAATGTGCTATGTACTATTACCACAACCAAAAGGACGAACGAGCCACAACAAATAAGCTCAAAAAATGAAAACCGATGGCAACCCGGAAGGCAAGAAACTAGTCTCACCTGCGACCTCCGAGTGAAACTTCTGCTCGGCGCTTCGTGTTCGAAGCCGTCGACGTCCGAATTGTCATCGTACGTGAGCTCGGGGAATATTTCGTCGTTCTCTTGTTCGACGATGATCAGCTCGTCTTCGTCGGACTCACTCACCGTGCCGTTGGTCACTTGTTCCGTTCCGTTCTGCGGCTTGCTCGCGTCGCCGTTCAGTTTTGCCGTGTCGGGTTTTCGCATTTTCTCGTCGTCTTTATTATCCGTCTGTAATGTGAAAATCAAATGTATTCTTTTTAAATAACACCAATGTAGTGTTTTGTAGATTAAATTAAACTTTTAACATTTAGAACCAAGACCGCCGCCAGGATTACTTTCAGGGAGGTGCATCCGCAACGACACACTATATTATGTACTATTAACTAATATAAAATATAGAATTATATATGTATATATGTATTATGTAAAGTAAAGTTGCAGTCTATTTACGTCCCACTGCTGGGCACAGGCCTGCTCTCATTTCGGAGAGGGTTTTAGGGCAAGGAAATGTCCGTCGCGCTGCCCCAATGCATGTTGGCGAACTTCACATGTCTTCGAAATATTATTTTTTTCTCTTATTTCTCAGACATGCAGGTTTCCTCACGATGTTTTCCTTCACCGCTGAGCACGTGGTAAATCAGGACTTAAAATTGCAATTAACAATTTCATTAGTGCCGGCGGGGATCGAACCCGGGTTGCTCGAGTACTGTGAAGCTTACAGCGAGCGCTAACCATCTGAGCTACCACGGCATGTATTATGTAGATAAATGTAATGTCAAATTCAAATCGCGCGGGTATTTGATTGAATATGTTTCGCTCATCGAAAACATACTTAATCTCTGTAGTCGATAGTTGACACTATTGCTTGCAGAATTCCCGCTGCCGCGCGACATGCTCAGTATTCACACTAACATTTAGTCAGTATACATACTGAATTTATTGACAATGTAATAATAATAAACAAATTTGGGCAGCGACCTAGACGCCTTCAGTTTTTCTATGTATTTTCTTTCCTGAAAGGAGGGTGCTAGTGCACCCCCTTGCACCCTGCTGCCGGTGCTCATGTTTAGAGCCGTGGTAGCTCAGGGGCTAAACGCACGTAAACACACACAGTAGGCGAGCAACCCGGGTTCGATATCCGCTGGCATCAATGAAATTGTTAATTGCAATTTTAAGTACTGATTTACTATTTGACCATGTGCTCGGCGGTCAAGCAAAACATCGCGAGCAAACCGGCATGTCTGAGAAATAAGAAAAACAAATACTTTAAGACATAAAAAAAAAAATACGGGGCAGCGCGGCAGACATTTCCTTGTCCTAAAACCATCTTCAAAAATAAGAGAAGGTCTATGTGCGTCCCACTGCTGTTCCCAGCAACGGAACGGACATAGGGTAACTTTAACTTTTTTTTAAATATTTTTCAATTGTAAGACGAAAGTTTCTGTCGAACAAATTATAACCTGATTGAATATAAAAGTGAAACAATTGAACTATTTTCTACCGACTTCAAACAGGAGGAGGTACTCAATTCGACCGTATTTTTTTTGTGTGTTACCTCGAAACTTTTTCTGGGTGAACCGATTTCCATTATTCTTTTTTTATTTGGAAACTGGTGCTTCTCACGTGGTCCCATATAAATTTGATCAAGGTCTGACAACAGTTTTTGAGTTATTCTTAATAGTTTATAGTGAAGTCAGTGGTACAAAATTTTTAATTTTAAATTATATTCCTTACAACTGTTATTTTTAATTTGTTTATGTTGTATTTTATTCTATGAATAAATTTTATTTGAGGATTGAAAAATCGAACCTAGTAGTAATAGTAGTAGGTCCAATTCAAGGACCCTTTGAGTGGATTAAAAAATTTCATAAGCTAAAGGTGACAACTAGAATGTTGTCCGAGTAGATCAATAAAAAAAATCTAAAACTTCATCCTCATTTTCCCATCCTTTTGCGGAATTTTTACTCCAAATTTATATGAAACACCTTTGAAGTAAGCAATTAAATAAAAAAAAACACAATTGACGAAGATATCACGTAATATACATACAAAAAACAATAGAATTGAAAGTGTAGCCCCTCTTTGTTTTCAGTTTTTTTTAAGTATATCTCAAAATTAAATTAAACTATAACAATACCTTTCCTCCAGTCTTCTCTGCACTGCTGCTGTCATCCTTCGGCTTCGGAGCAGCTTCCTTCTCATCTTTCTTCTCCGAGCTCTCCGCAAGTTTATCTTTCTTCCCTGGAGTATTTTCTATGCTTTTCTCTCTACTTTTTTCTTTCTTCTCTGCAGGCTTTTCTGTGGTTTTCTCTGTAGCTTTCTCTTTTTTGTCTGAAGCCTTTTCTGTATTTTTCTCAGCGGCTTTCTCTTTTTTATCTGCAGCCTTTTCTATGTGTTTCTCCGCATTTTTATCTTTCTTGTCTGCATTCTTCTCTGCGACCTTTTCTGCCTGTTTATCTGCTGTATTTTTTTCAGCTGCCTGCTTCTCCTTCTCGGCATTCGCTGCAATTTTTTTCTTCATTTCCTTCACCGGACTATCGGTCTGGCGCTGTAGATTGGAAAAAGTCGTTAGCCAATACTTTCCCATTTGTACATATTTCTTCATCTCGACGAGCAATAAAAACGTAATTAAATTAACTAAACTAAATATTTGACTTCTGTACTGTAAGTATGAGCGGGAAACTTCGACACCGTAATTTATTTATAAAATTAAAGACCAAAACAAATTGAAAATTGGAAACACTACACTTCTGTCAATTGCGTCTGGAAACCAACTTGCATGTAATCGGAATGAGTTTGAACTGGTAGGACATTTATCTATTTATTACAATAGATCATTATTATTACAAGACTTGTTTATTATTATTGGAAGATGGAGCAAAAATTAAGGTAACAACGATATCAATAGACAATCCAAAAATTCTTACCTTATCTTTATCCTCGCCGACCGGCCCCTGGCGCGTAACTATCTGACTCATGATTCACCTGAGAACAATGCGAAAGTAAACTTTAAAAACTGATAGTTAACCCATCGGTCAATAAGTCTCGAGCCTAAGTAAGAGAAACATAATATTTATTCAAAATTCAATTTTATTCATCAATATAGTCTACTTCAAGAGTTACACTCAGTCCAGCGTCGCTCTAACATTTCTATGCCTTTTTTATAATACGATTTCTACAACCCTTTATATCCAGACCCGTAACAATTATTTGTAGGTCATACAAATACATACTTGCTCCGTGCGGGATTCGAACCTGCGGCCCACAGCGCAACAACTCAGTGCCAAGCCACTGCTCCACGGAGTCGGCGATCACTTCTTCATTTGAAGCAAATTTCTTTCGGGATAGCATTTTTTTTAGGTTAGCGAACAAATAATAGTCACTGGGGGCGAATACGGTGGGTGAGCAAACAATTCAAACTTTAACTCTTTAAGTTTCGCCATGGTGACAACAGACTTGTGACATGGTGCATTGTCCTGATAACTTTTTCTTTTGCATTTGAGGCAGTTTTTTTTTTTGCGATTTCCTCCTTCATACGCACTAATAACGACATATAATATTCGCTATTGATCCTTTCGCCCTTCTGTAGATAGTCTATAAATATTATACCATGCACATCCCAAAACACGGATGCCATAACCTTTCCAGCTGAAATTTGAGTTTTTGATCGCTTTGGGCAGCTTTCATTGGTTGCTGTCCACTCACTTGACTGTCGTTTTGATTCTGGAATGTAGTGGTGGATCCAAGTTTGTGACATACTACATGAAAAAATCCTTTTTTTTCCGCCTAAATAACTCTAAACAGCGCTCTGAGGCTTCAACACGTTGATGCTTTTGATCAACGGTGAGCAAACGCTGTACCCACTTGGAACAAAGCTTTCTCATAGACAAATGCTCATGCTAAATGGTGAATTCACTACCTTTCAATATGTTTAGGTCGTCGGATATCTCTTGCAATTTCATTTTACGGTCTTCCAAAACTATTTTGTGAGCTTTTTTTATGTTTTCTGAAATAACAGCCTCATTTGAGAGTCCAGAGCGTTCAGCGTCATTTGTATCTGTTCACCGCGCTTAAATTCAGCAAACCAACGTTTAATTGTTGCTTTGGATGGAGCAGAGTCCTTATAACACTTGTCAAGCCAACTTTTTGCCTAAACGGTAATTCTCTTCATTAAAAAACAATTTTAATTAGCACTCGAAATTCTTTTTCGTCCACTGTTTCAATAATTTTCAGTGGCGCCAAAAAAAAAACAACCGAACTTTTAAACAAATAATTTAGAGGTTATAAAAATTTTGCACAGATTATGTAGTACTGTACTTTTACTGTATTTTCTGTACTTTAAAAAAAATCCCTAACAGCGTCATACGTCAGGCTTATTGACCGACGTAATACAAGTGGAAGTCTATTATTAATAAAATTATATCTCAACCCTGAATCAATACAACTAAAAGACTTCAAAAAAGTTCATATTGCGTAGATCGGAGCTCTGTGAACTTGGAAACCGAACTAAAAAAAATAAAATAATAATAATTGATACAAGCACTATGCTCAATGACCTCAATAGTGTTTCCCAACGGATAGGTCTTAAGATGAACATGGACAAAACAAAGATTATGTTTAATGTCCATGTCACACCTATGCCGGTAGTTGTTGGGAGCACTAAGCTCGAAGTTGTTGACGAGTATGTTTACCTGGGACAAATAGTCCGACTAGGTAAGTCCAACTTCGACCGAGAGGTCAATCGACGGATTCAACTTGGCTGGGCAGCGTTCGGGAAGCTACGACACATCTTCTCGTCAGACATACCTCAAAACCTTAAAACGAAATTGTACAACCAGTGCGTGTTGCCAGTGATGACTTACGGAACTGAGACGTGGTCCTTCACTGCTGGCCGTATGAGGAAGCTCAAGGTCGCTCAGCGAGCTATGGAGAGGGCTATGCTCGGAGTTTCTCTGCGTGATAAACTTAGGAATGAGGATATCCGCAGTAGAACCAGAATAACCGACATAGCCCAACGAATTAGTAAGCTGAAGTGGCAGTGGGCCGGCCATATAGCTCGAAGAACCGACAACCGATGGGGAAGAAAGGTTCTCGAGTGGCAACCTCGTACCGGTAGGCGAAGTGTAGGGCGTCCCCCCACGAGATGGAGTGACGACCTGGTAAGACATGCAGGAAGTCGATGGATGCAGGTGGCTCAGGACCGTGCTTTGTGGCATTCTTTGGGGGAGGCCTATGTTCAGCAGTGGACTTGTGAAGGGCTGTAATGATGATGATGATGAATTGATACATATTCTACAAACAACACAGATGATTGTAATACCGTTTATTCGTTTGTAGTCCTGAAAAATCTTCTGATGATTACTGAAAGTTGTAATTTTTCATGAAACAATAATTTTCGAAAAATCTCTCTAGTTCAGTCTAGTTTCTGAACTAACACGGCCTCTTTTTACATGGGGAAATACCTATGCATTCTCGTCTATCGGGGGCAAGGACGGGTTATGTCGAACTCGCACCGACAAAAACCTCATGGTGTTCCACCTACGCCGCATATTGGCAGGGCCACGGGAACGCTTTTGCACTCATCCTATATGGCTGACACGGCCTATGTTGTGTAATGCGATATGTGAGGGAATTAATATGAAAGTATTTTAAATTACGATCGCGTTTTTTAAATATTTCAGTCACGTTTTGAGTTAATGAGTTTTTAATAGTCTCAGCCGCTCCATTTAGAGGTCATCGTATTTTACAATAACACCAAGGCGGCCGCCTCTCTAAAATTACACTCGGAAGGGAAAAAAACTTCTGTCAATTACATAGCTATGCGGCTATCTTGGCATAGTACTAAGTCTACAGATAAAAGAAACTTTAGAATTGTACGTTCAATATGGTCATTTGTACGTCAGTTGTACGTTCTGTAAGGTCGTGAGTAATACGCGAGTATATGAGTAATAATAATATGTTGAACCAAAAGCTGATAATGAAATATCACATTATTTCATTCATAAAGTCATTTCAAGCTAGTATTTAATAATATTAACATTGCTTTCTTTTTTTTATTTTAAAGTCGTCCGTGTCATACGGTAGGGCTTTTAATATTTATTTATATTTTTACTTGATAAGATTGTTTACATTTCTAAATATAGAAAAATATTAAGGTACGTTGGGGTAAGATCGGTGATGGGGCAAGACCGTAGGATTCAAATTCCCGGCGAATTATGCAATATTTTGAAAAGCTAACAATATGCTACACGACGCCATTTCATCCTGCCCCGACCCCCGACCCTCAGTTCGCGCCAGTCACTCCGGCAAGTGGGACCTGTGCTGCGCGGCATTTTATAAAACAATGTAATTTTTGTATTATTTTTGTCCATCCGATCTTTCCCTATCACTTTTATTTACGATTTTTAGCGAAAATATGGCTTCTTTTGTTATTATTTTGTGTGGATACTAATTTTTATGAAGTTATAGCTAAATAAAGCTGGTCCATGCAGGGGTAAGATCGCTGTAGGCCGAGATCCGATGTTTCCCCTCGTGAGTGAAGATCGGATGAATATTATCCGATCTTTGCCTGTTACAAATATGGCAGTGGTTGTTAAACTTTCATTGGTCGTGTATATTTTTTCGTTGATTACTTAAGTGACTATGGAACTCAGTCTCGTTAGCAAGTCTGTATATTTAAAAGTAATAAAACAATACGATGGTTTTATTACTTTTAAGTACACATTAAAATACATTTTTTTATAGGATAAGGGTGACAAAGGAGCACACAGTCCACCTGATGTTAAGTGATTGCTGCGGCCCATAGACATCTATATCTATCCTCTATTACAAATCAAAATGTAATTTATAATAATTATTTAAAAAAATAATTTATAATAATAAATGCCGCTTTGTTAAAATATTTATATATTCCTTAACTCCTGCATTATCCCAGGGCATTTCGCCAATCCTTACTGTATTTTTTTTTCCATATAAAATCAAATGCATCCGATCTTTCTCTTATATTGAGTAATTCCATCTTATGTCATAACAAAGTTTGAGAAACATAAAATTACAATTTCTTTATATCAGGGATAAGATCGGATGGCAAGAAACAAAAAAAGAGAAAATCGTTTGGAACATTTATGTTTCTAGTAATTTATAGATCATTTTGAAATATGTTTTTGAGCGTTAAAGATAGGACAAATCTCTTTTATAAACTTTTTTCTCTAAGCAGTAGAAGTGGTTTTAAATTTAAGTCCGGTCTTACCCCTTAATGGCCAATTTTTCATTATGCATATAAAAAAGTATGTCTAGTTTTCGCACACCTTTAAAGCAGAAACCGTTGAGTTTACACAAGCAAAAGATTCTCAGAGCTAAACTACGTTTAACGATTAACGGTTTGCTCCATGTTCCATAAATCTGACGTATACGAATGTCGAGAAATTAAAGTTTTTGGCAGACTCTTCCAACTATTCGAAAATCCGTCCGGTATTACCCCAACGTACCTTATATAGATATAGAAACTATATCTATATAATATTTTGGGTAAGGTACCCAAAGCCATTCACGTAAACAATTCTATCACCTCCACATTGTTACTATAGTAATTTATTCCTGTCTAACCATCACAATAACTCTATCACTGGATACGAATAAGCGCGGGGTGAACGACCTCGTAGACTTGTACAACACGAACGCGGCGTATGGTCCAATTCATTCAAATTAGAGGTGGTTTTTCTATGATCATACACATAAAAGTTATTCATAGGATAAAACGCATCATAAACAAATTAATAATTACCGTTGTATAAATAAAAATGTTCATTTATCGATTCAGTCAGATGATTAAAACTCAGACATTAGTTAATTATAACTAATGTATATATAAATATTATAGTCACCAGTATCTTTATATTAATAAAAAATACGTGTCACATTGTTTGTCCATGGTGAACTCTGAAACCACTCAACCGATTTTAAAGAAATTGTGTAAATG